TATACTTATGTTAGTAAGTATGGCATGTAAAATATTTATCCAGATTTGCTATATGCATTTGGTTTTCAATCCTACAACCTCCTTCTGTAATCTTGCTTTTTTCCTCCTTTATTGGCCCATTCCCCATTCTCCCTACGTTGCTTCTTTTAATGCTATTAAAAGAACAAACGAAGATTCAGTTATATTACAGCATTGGAACTTAATATATATCAGCTCCTCTAGGGCTACATGCATTTTGAAACACATCAGCTTAGGCCAAAGAAATTAACCATTACTTACAAAGCGGGGAGGGGGTAGGGAGTAATGGGGACATTTGTAGTAGTGTCAACAATAGAGATAAAGAAAAAAAAACACAAAACCAAACCCTGGAGATGTGGTTCAGTGGACTGAGTGCTGGCCTGTGAACCGAAAGGTCGCAGTTCGATTCCCAGTCAGGGCACATGCCTGGGTTGCTGGCCAGGTCCCCAGTCAGGGATGTGTGAGAGGCAACCAGTCAATGTATCTCTCACACATTGATCTTTCTCTCCCTCTCTTTCTCCCTCCCTTCCCCTCTCTCTAAGAAGTAAATGAATAAAATCTTCAAAACTAACAAACAAAATAAAGAAAAAGAAGAATGATTATTTGGAGGTGGAAAGCTTTCCTTCCTCTTTCCCTTAACTAATAATAACATGCAGATGATTACATATTCCCGTTTCAGCTCCTAGAGGGAAAGTTCTCAATGGAAGAAGGCAGAGGAAGTAATGATCAAGTGAAAAGAGATTAAGAAAATACTGTGTTTTTATTTTTAAGGGGGGAAAGATGAAGAATAGGGTAGAACCTAATCTTTTCTGTATCTGCAAACTACCATGATTTAAGCACTTATCCAATATATACTACTGATAAAACCTATTTTAGGTCTGATCTTTTGTCAAAACAATCAGAACTAATTAGAGTAACAGTCTGTAAAATGGGCTTGTGTCTCCCTCCCTTCCTTTCCTTCTATACACTTCATTAAGGATCTGAGCACAGAGCTGACACTGGGCTATGCATCATTCACACATCCCATGTGACCTGTCATGACTTCACACCAGTGCTCATGCTGCTCTTGTCCTCAAATTCTCTTCCCTCAGTGTTCTGCCTATGGCACTTGTGTTCACCCAATGAGATCCCATTTAAATGCTAGCCAAGAGGCCTTCTCCAAGCAGCTCTTTTATCCTGAGCAGGACCACTATCTCCCTCCATTATGTCTCCATAGCATTAGTAAATATGATTTTATTTTAAAGCTCATCATCTTGTATACTTAATATATATTATTATATCTCTCTGCTCCAAAGAATGTAACCTACTTCAAGTTGGGACCAGGTTTGTTTCTTTCCCTGCCTCCCTCCCTTTTTCTTCCTTCCTTCCTTCCTTCCTTTCTTTTTCTCTTTCTTTCTTTCTTTCTTTCTTTCTTTCTTTCTTTCTTTCTTTCTTTCCTTCCTTCCTTCCTCCCTTCCTTTCTTTCTCTTTCTTTCTTTTATTTCTTTCAATTGTCTGTGCCCAATAATATTATGCATCAGGCATATTAAATATAGGATAAATGTATATGCTACAGTCTAGAAAGTATAAAAAGTTTACTGTTTCATAAAGGAGGCAAGGTTTACAGACATAAGAGAGGAAGATGAAATAATGTATTGGGCAAAGAACATTAGGTAACTACTGAATTCAACAAATATTTGCTAAAAACCTAGGAGTAAAGGTGTTTACCAGGAGTTCTAGGATAAATACATAGTCACTACCTTTGAGATGCTCACAATCCATCCACCTTGTAGATTGTCTTCATATGTATGTGTACAGCACTTCTGTGGTATCACTTTACATGAGGTAGGTCATTATTTTCATTTTCATAGAGATATAAACAGAGGGTTTAAATTTCCCAAACTTCTGACTCCAAGACTGAAATCTTTCTTCCATGCTACATCAGTGTATCTTAAAATTTCCACTTCAGAATATACTTTTACAGGGAGAATAGACTTGTATTCCTCAGCATTGGGAAATAGGAGCTCAAAATCTAGTGTGTAATCTTAAAATTCATGCTTATTATAATGTTTCCCATTATTTCTCACTGAGTCGAACTGAAGACCTGAGGAAATAAGGCCCATTAATTCTGGGTATTTAAAGTACCTTAGCACAGGGTTTCAACACCAGAGGAGCACAGACAATTTCAGAAGCACATGGCTACACTGCTACCTTTATTCAGGGTGTCTGGGTTTGGCTTGAGTCCCAACCCAAGATTTTGGGTAACTTCATCAGATTTCCTTTTAGGTTTCCAGTGGCATAACTGTGTTTACAGCTACCTCTGAAGACTGTAACAGAACACGCACTCTACTCCCAGGTGTTAAGTGAGCAGCGGGGGGATATCCCTTTCCTCCCTGCAAGGAATTCTCATTCTGGCAATAAGCTCTCTTCAGTCCAATACTAACTGCCACCCCTTTCACTGTCTATGGAACCTAAAACAGTCCCAGATGTCTCCTCCAACCTCCCGCTGGTCCTTGAAGGCCCTAAAGGCTAAATAATGCCCTCTTTTCGGCACCACCGCTAGAGGGCAGCTCAGGTTGCAGCTCTGCTGAGCCCTCTAGTGGCTGCTGGGGTGACATGGCTCTTTTATGGAACCTATTAAAAACTCACAAGTTGCACTCGGGAAGCCAGCCTATGTGACACCAGGCAGCGAACTTTTAAAGAAACCTCTTGTTTCTCAGCTTCCTTTTCTTAAGGCCTTTGACAGTTTTCAAATACACTAGCTTTCTTGGATGAATCTCCTACTTTCTAGGATCTTCCCCTCCCAGGGTGTGGCAATGTGGAGCCATCATTCTCTTTTGGTCTGGTAAAAAATTAGAATCTGGGGGACTTGGCAACTTTCCCCAATGCCTTTTTACTTCCTTCATCTTCCTCATGAATACAAGCTTAAATATACATTCAAGATTTTCGGTATAACCTCAATTTCAGTACGGCTTGCAGGTTCTGGAATTAGACTTCCAGGATGCAACTCCTGGTTCTTTCATTGACTGATTAGGTAACTTTAAGAATGTCGTTTAACCTAGCTCCTGGTTCATCTGTAAAATAGGGAGAATAGTACTTACAACATATAGTTTGGGGAGGAATAACTATGATAATGTATGGCAAGTGCTAGATCAGGCATACCGAAAGTACCCAACAAACATTAGCTATTTTTATTCTTCTTCAAAGCTTCTGTCTACTGCACAGCAAGCATGCCTATCAATTTGGTACAGAAAAATACTATCTTTACATAGGACTCAGGGTACATATGCAAATGAATTCATAGGCTTGTATTTTCCTAAAGTGGCTAAGCCAACAGTTATCTTAGGTTATGGAAAAGGCAGGGGGTGGGGCCGTTTGTGTGAAACAATCAGTGCAAAGGGTATTCAGGGTGCAAAGGAATCCAAGAGGCCTGGAATCTGCATGTAGGAGCTGTGTTTTGCACAGCTCCTCCCTCTGTACCCTTCCTCCCTCCCTCCAACCCCACCAAGTGCAAGCATTCAGGGTAAATCTGGGAGTGGAGTCTGTGGGCCAGGACTGAGGGCACAATGGAGCAAAAGCAAGAGGGTTCCAGACCAAGGAAGGGAACAGAGCACTCCAAAGGACAAGGATTCCAAGCCAATCAAGTTCTCCACCTACCAAGAGTCTAAAAGGTGGTAGAGCTTCATGACCCAAAGTCCAAGCATAGCATGAAAGTGGCCGGAGAATCTTGTCAGGTAGACATCTGGTAGAAACTGTCAAAAAAGTTAAAGCTGAAGAGCTCATAACATCCACGGGCCCAGAGAAAGGTCAGTGTGAGCTGAACAGCTGTTCCATCTGGTGCCAGGGGCCTTGGCTGTCGTCTTGTACACCCAGGCAGTTTAGGCCTCCCTGATCAGCCCCACCTAGAAAAGCCAATTCTGCTCTTAAAGGGGACTTGCTTGTTTCTGGTAGGGAGTCCTACTCTTAGTGGGCAAAGGTACCTCTTCGGTATGAATGGGGGAAAGGAGGCAGAGAGTGCGTCAGAGGTTCAACGGGCTCCAAAGGAAGGAGCTTGTGGCTGGAGCCTGAACCTCCATATTGGGAGAACTACACGCTTTTCTTTCAGAATAGGCAGGGGCCTTGGCTGCCAAGGACCCTGACAAGCCGCGACTTGAGCTGTGCCTTAGAGCCTGGGTTGGCTTGAGAGCGGCACAGCGGAGGGCGGGCATTCCTGGAAAGGGGGTGAGGTGGGGAGGTGAGGGGAACAGCATGAGCAAAGGCACGAAGGAAGAATGAATCTGCTGTGCGTTGAGAATGGCATGGAGACTTCACTGATTGGAGCCCGGAGTTCTTGCAGGGGGATGGAGGCAGCTATGATTGGATAGCTAAAGTGGGGCCAGATTTGGAGGGCTTTGAATGCCCGACTGAGGAGCACTCAACCCAGCTCCTGACTTGCGATTTCCGTTCAAGACTGAATTACCTATAGGGTGGTTAATTCCAACGGGTGTTTTTCTTTGGGGGCTTCTTTAAAGTCAGCTTATCCTCTTACCTGCTTCAATTCTCTTCATTTACCCAGGGAAAAAAGTAATCCTCACTTGTCGAGAGGAGGGGGGATAACGTTGATTAATTTTACTTTCCTTGCTTTGAAGATGCAAAAAAAAAAAAAATCCTATTTCCATGCCAAATATTAAATTTGGTTTCTCCTCCTCCGCCTCCCGCAGGTCCTCTTTCTCTCGCCAGCACCTCCCCCACGCTTTCCTGCTCTCCTCCACCCGCGCGGCCAGTAGCCTCCTCGCCCGGGCGGTGCGCGTTCCGGGCCCAGGGGGCCCGCGCTCGGCCTCCGCACCCGTGCGCCCCCCTCCCAGCCCCCTGCGCCGCTCCGGGGCACCCGCACACACTGGTCCACGCCCCCCCACCCCCGCCCGGCGGAGCGGTAGGTGTTTTGCCTTCTGCGCCGGGCCGCAGTGCGGCTGCGCGCACAGGGCTGCCTCCGGGGCTGGCTGGGCAGCGGCGGCCGCGGGGCCAGGAGCGAGTGGCGGCGGCGGCGGCGGCGTGGGGAGTGGCGTGGAGCTGAGCCTGGGGCTGCTGCAGAGCGGGGCCCCCGGCGTAGAAAAACCCGGGGGCAAGAAAGGAAGGCCAGGCCGTGAAGTCACTGAGCAACCATTCTCCTTGGATTTGGGGGAGCCTTGCCCCCCACCTCGTCTTCAGACGCCCCCTCCTCATCCCCCAGCCCCGGCCGCTGACGGGAGGAGGCGGCGGCGGGGGACTGAGGGGCGCCGCCATGCCTCTCCCGCGGTGAAGCGCCCCGGCCTTAAGGAGCCTCTCGGTCTCCCCGGTGATGTCCCCCAGGCGGCAGGCGACTCACTCGAGCCCTGGGGTAAAGGCCTAGCTTATCCAGCTTCCTTCCTCCTCCTCCTCCTCTTCCCCTCCCCCCTCCTCCTTCTCTCCCCCTTCGTTCTCCCCTCCCCGTCTCTTCCCTCACCCTTCCCCGCGCCCCCATCTTCCCTCCCTCCCTCCCACCCCTCCAGCAGCGATGGCAGAGGAACAACAACAGCCGCCACCACAGCAGCCTGATGCCCATCAGCAGCTTCCCCCCAGCACCCCCAACTCGGGGGTGGCTCTGCCAGCCCTTGTGCCTGGGCTGCCAGGGACAGAGGCCAGCGCGCTGCAACACGAGATCAAGAACTCCATCTGGTAAGAGGATCCACCATCGCTGGGGTAAAAAAGCCCAGGCACATTTCTGCTGCAAAGGGGGTGGGGGCGGCGGGCGGGGGAGCAGAGGGAGCTGGCTGATGCATTCATTGAATATGGGTTTCCATGGTCGAATGCATATTTATTGGGCCCCTGGAGGTGTGGGGACTTTGCATCAGCCCTTGGTCTCCATATCCCCAAAATGCTTTTGCCCCCTCCTCAATTGTGAGTTCAGTTAAACAAGTTATTTATGGTTTTCACTTACGTGTAAGAAGAATATGGGTCGAAATTGTCATCTTGCATGATGGTAGCATGAATTTGGGACTGAGGAATGTGAAATGTGTTTACTCCTTTTTGCAGTCATACAGGGAGGAAGAAGTGTATTGTGAATTTTCACCAAACAGACATTGTGCGTAGGAATATTAATAGGCAGCACAAAACCTAATGTGTCTCTTCCTTTCAGTTGGTTTAGCTGCTGTTTCTGAACGTTTTTGCCTTCTTTATTCTGAGATTAAATTTCTCTTCCAAGGAGTTTATTCTTTGCATGGATTATGAAGAAAGGGCTTTTTTAGTATAGGATTTTATTTTAAGGTGGTAGTTTACGCTGTAAAGTGATTTTTTTTATTTAAAAAGATATCTTTAATTTAAAATAAATGTCTTATCCATTTCATGTATCTTTTCTAAAAACCATAGGTGAAATATCCTTTGCTATTCCTGTACTTTCTTGTACGAGAATTTCTAATATTTCCGCATTAGATTAAACTCTAAAAGACTGGTGGCAGCCTTTTAATAATTAAACACACTGAGTTAAGTCTATCCTTTTAGAGCCATTGCAAATATTCTTTGAACATGAACTTGCATTCTTTTTGTAGGATTCTTCACTAACCAACATTTTTTTAAAAGTGTAGTGCTATTTTAAAATTAAGAGACTGCTTTTAATAGAAGTTTAAAAATACAATTTAATTGACATCAAAAAGCTCTGATTTTAAAAATGAAATCCTGCATGTCCATCATTAAATATGACTACTAAAATATCAAAATTCCTTTTATATTGCAATTTAAAAATAAATGTATCAAAATTACTGGCATTGCATACAATATTTATTTACACATTTAAAAAGTGACAATTTTTAAATCCAAATTTAAGGTTTCTTGTGTAGTAATTTTCATTATTTTCCTGGTGTACACCCATGTTGTCATGATGCTAATATGCAGTAGGTCAGCGCAGGCTCTCATAGTTTTATTACTATAGTAGTTGGCAGCTGAGTATCTGGCTTTCATTTTTAATTGTAAAATGAAGTTTAAATATTTTAAAGAGTAATTGATTTTTGACTTTGACAATAGTCATGCTGTGACAACCTAATAGGTCAGAAAAATAGTATCATGTGTGAGTGTGTGTGAGAGAGAGAGCGCTGGTGAGAGAAGCCTTTATTCTTCAATGGATACCCTCATCCCCTTTTAAAAGCCACAGTTTAAAGGAAGAGACAGTTAAACCAGATACTGGAGTGATGTTTACCACCTATTAACTTGATGTAATTTAAGTGTCCCTGAAATCATCATTAAAATGAATTTAAAGCATTCAGGTAAGGAATGTCCAAGTTGAAAGGACTAAAATCTTTTAAGAAAGATATATTTAAAAAGTTGAATTAGTTAGGTGTATTTTAATTTATTATGAGAACGCTAGGGGGAAAGGAACCTTCATTTTACATTTTTTAAATAATATTAAGTTGTACAGGCAACTGAAGTGATTGAATAATATTGATAGTGGAGTTCTCTGTTGGTAAATCACATGATTTAATTATTTTTTTCATTGATAGTTTATGTTTGCGCATCCATTACAACTTAACTGCGCAGACTTTAACTTGAGGAAACTTATCCTGAAGTAGAGTACACTTTAAGTTTTTGGTACTTGCCCTGAAAAAATAATGGGCAACAGATACCATAACCTTAATTCCCAAATGTACAATTTTAATCTTTATTTTAAAATTATAGTGGTACACCCATGGGCATTTAATTTTCAACTTTAGAAGTCATATTTGCAAAAATGAGTTTTTTATATTATATTTAAAACTTTAGAGAAACATTAGTGATCACAAACACTAGTGGATATATTTAATGTACAGTCTCATATTCCATGCTCCACAAGACTGGATTTATGGTATTCATCAAGTAGTTATATAAAATAAAGACATTAAAAAGTGAAATACCTTTAATACCATCTTCTAAGAAATGGTATGAATATGTGTTAAATTAAAATCACTTTTAATAGATAAGATTACAATTCTTTAGGTGTCTCATTTCACATTTCTTGAGGCAGTAATGTCTTCTTACCAATTTTTATCACCTGATAATGTTCTGAGAAATAATTAGTTTTGTTACTTCCTATATCAATCTTCGATAACATTACTGATAAATGTGTAAAATTACATTAAACAGGAATGTAGCATTTAAAAATTATTAAATGGCTTTTGCATTTAGGTTGACCAGAATTTATTGGACTTGCAGATCACAAACATGTCTGTACTTGTTATCCTATTCTACAAATATAAATATAGTGTGTGATGTAGGCCTTTAGCTGGACAACGAATTATTTATTATCTCAGTTCATAATTATTTTTTTGTTAGTTGAACTAAAATGCTGTTTGATAAAAGGATTCCCATGATAATTTCAAGCATCAAGTGAATCTTTGAAAAAAAAAAGATTCAGTATTCAGAGGTGAAATTAATGTACTTTAATGAGATCAGAAATAGTATTCCTTAAAAGTGGAAATGTGTATTTTTAAGATAGTTCTAGCAAATAAAGATATTACTAACTTGATAGTGGTATAATATTTCTATAATGTATTTATGAATATTTTTAACTGAAGTTCAGGTTAACAAGCCTGCGTGCACTTTTCATGACCTTCCTCATTCCCACTCCACAGAGGTCCAAATCTTTACACTGCTCACTTGAAAGGAGATTTGTTTGCAGAGGTGTGTTTAATACTGAATATACTGTAAGAATGTTATGTATATTTTCTAAACAATAGAATTATAAACTTTTCATTAAGAAAAAGAAACTAGCAACCCATGTCTTTTGTAAATGAAGATTTATCCTGGCAACCTAAAGCAAAGCCACAACCAAATCTCACTGCAGACATTATAGCATATATTGCACCCTTCTTTGGTTACTTAAAAAGAAAGAATACCAAAGCAAGTTTTTCTTTCCTCTTATCTCTTAAGTGTCTTCATAATTTTTAAAATTATATTTCACTTTAACAAAAAAATTTACTAAGGGCTTTTCTTTTCCTTTTTGAAGCAGTTTTCCTTGAAACCCTTATAGGATAAAAAAATTGCATTTGTGTTCTCTTCTGCCTGTTTGTGATCAGTTATTTTTAAGAATACTTAGACCTACATGGGTGGGAGTGATTAAAATTTTTGCTATTAGGCTCTGACATAGAGACTACAAACCTTTTCTTAGAAATTCAAAGGAAACTCTGATGTTTTATTGTAGAAAATATTCAAATACTATATTTAATCAATAAACAAATTCAAGGATTCTTAAAAGAATTAGTGATTATTGTTTTTATTTATGTAACTTTATTATCAAGTATGACCTTGTAAATCATTCCTTAAAACAGTCTTAAGATGTGCCATTGTTCTATCTACTTTTTTGAAGCAGATAAATTGAATGTCAGGTAAATTATTGGATTCCTTTGATTCATTATCAGACCATGGAAGCAGTGCAGAGACCAGAGCTCCTGGTCTTTATTCAGTCTTGTAAGTCATACAGACTTCTGAATGTGGTACATTTTAGATTTACATTTATGATCAAAGTAGAATTACACATGTGGACCATTTTCGGTGTTATCTGAATTCTGATTCAATCCCAAATTGAGGAATTTTATTTAACTGTATTAGTTACAAGGAGCAAAGTATGGTGATCCTAAGGTTTGCATAGTGATTCCATATTCATCTTGTTTTCCATCCCCTTTCCAGTAACTTGGCAGTTTTGTGCTTGGTTCTGGGTCAGACAGTTTATTAAGCTCTGTATGAGAAAGTTGTTGTTCCTTCACCTGCAGTGGGAAACATTTACTATAAAGCTCCTAACCGTAAAGTTGACTTTAACTGTAGCCTATGATCTTCATTTTACTTTAAAATTAAAGACTGACTAGCATGTCAGCCAACTTTCATATATTTTCAGTTAGTTGGTTGAAGGTTCTCCTCTAGATTTGAAACTGATGGATTTGTCTTCTCTATTGACCAGAAAAGCAAGTTAAACAATTTCAAGCCCCTTGACTTTGTGGCCTTGTTTAGCCTAGGCAACAGATGTGTGTGTGTATAAATGTGTGCGCGCGCGCGCGTGTGTGTGTGTGTGTGTGTGTATAAATAATTGACCAATTTGCTCTCCCCATTGGGAATTATCTTTAATGATGTTATGTATAGAACTAATTTAATTTCTATATCACTGTTAGTTTTTGGCTTTATTGGGGGAAATGTACTTCACAGTGGTATAAAAGACAGAAGTGTCTCATTTGTTATGAAACCTACTTTGAATAAAAACTGTCAAATCACTTTTTATATTAGAAAAATAATGTTGCCCATTAAAATTGTACAAATGAAGATAATTAAAAGGAACATTGACATTTACTCAAATTTGAGCACTCTGTGCAAGAACGGTAGGTACTTACCCAACAACCGGCTGTATATGAAGCATTATGCTAGAGACTGGCATTTGAGGAATGTTCATTTACTTGTACAGTAATATTAACCTAAGCAAAAACGTGCAATAAAACATCTCTTTTATTCATTTAGGGGACCAGGGGAAAAGGTGACAAGTGCCAGAGTGTTAATTGTAATAATAATAGTTTTCTTAGTTTCTTTGTCTAGAAAATGAAAAGTTCATATTAGATGACCTTACAAGTTCCTTTAGGTTAAATTATGGCTCTTGTTACTAAATTAATATTGACAGCAATAATAAAGCATACTATAAGCACATTGAAAACTACCAGCGTTAACTAATG